AATATAGCTTATACATTATAATAACATACCTAAAGCTAGGCTATAAATTTAATCTCAAACTATTCTAATTATTTTTCTTACATTCGACAGATTTATATAACAATTTTTATACTTACCGATAACACCTATACAGATTAAAGTGGTACATTGAAGTATATTTCTCAATGGAACAAAAGCAAAATAGGTGGATAGGGTAACAAATATGTGTGTAGACTTTAGCAATCTGAGTTATGTATAATACATAATTACCTACCTACCCACATTTAATTTATATAATACCAATAATATCTACGTTTAGTAGTAGTACCTATATATAGTAATCAAGTGTTTTTTTCAATATCAAGGAAATTATTAGGCATATCAATTCATTGGACTGACGCATGACGGCCATGAGTATAAATAGCTGAATATTCAACGAGGAACATCGATACTTTTATTGTTTCACAAAAAAACGTTATGATATAATAATGCGATTTACAATCTTCGCCTGTGTCGCTCTTCCCATTATATTTTGTACATTTTATTTTCCATTTGGGAAATTCCCAATGAAATTTTCCTATACGATGACTCAGGGGCGGAAAATCACTGAAATGAGGATTGTTCATTTTCGCTTTGCATATTATTTAAATCTGTGACCCTTCCTATAGGAACGTATTAATTAATCTTTCGGCTTAGCATATTTTGATAGAAATAGCTGGTTAATTAACACCGCGTTATGTTTAACGTATTTAGAGTAGACTTTGTCAAAGAAACAGTACTTATATACCTAAATGAATTGCTTTTGTGGATTAAGAAGTTATGCCTAATTATATATTTATAATAATATTTTTAATCTTTTTTTTTTAATTTATAGTAGGTATTTTCGAATATTGTAGCGGAATGGGGGACAAGGGGTGGACATAAAAAAACAAATTATGTTTCCTTCTTAACACGTTGAAGAATCTCATCTCGTGATCTTATTTCTCACATAGGGACCGGCATTTTTTTTATTATTAATTTTGTATATTTTGTTTTAAATATGATTTTAGTGTACAATATTTTGGGGAAGACATTATTTAATCCTTAGATTTATTCAATTAAAGTGCCCAAAGGTCCCAACATGTAAATTTACTTTCGTTGCGGAGTGACCCACCGATGGGCATGCGGTCTTTAACGTGTTAATATATTCACCTGCAAGACGGATACATTTTTAAGATCTTTCAATTAATTTATTTATACCCTTATAAAAAATGTTTCTCTTTATCTTGAAAATACGCTGAAACTGTCTCCTTGACTTCATCATCGGTGGTAAATTGTTTAACTCACAACTCCTTTTTCATTTTTTGAAACAGGTAATAATAACTCGGGGCCTATAATAAATAAAGAAAAAATAAACTCGGGCCCACGTCTAGGCCCCATACATTCCGTGAATTTAAAAACGCACCATTGTAGAAGGGGATGGAGTTTGCTAAACAAATGTATGGCGATGGCTACTCACTTTATGTAAATTGCATGTCAAATTGGTTGTCACTGAGAGCAAGCTAAGAGCCTAAACACATTTATGAGGACCACAAAACCGCCTGTAGACACAGTTTGACACAATCTATCAGATTTATCTTTTGGGTTAGAATTATATACCTATACATCCTCTCCAGACACAGTATCTGTGCCCTTGTGCTATAGCTTGACCATAACCGCTGCACTTCGCCCTAGGTACTTGCGGCAAGGCGGTGTACGGATAAGAAAGAGCACGATTTCACATGAGACTGATATTGTCGGACGGATCTTACGATATCATTTGAAAGTTTTAAAGTAGGCTATTGTTTAAATAATTGCCTAAATTTGTTAAAATAATAATATTCAAACATTTTTTACTATACACGCCATTCGTACTTATTAAATTGTATAGAGAATTAATTAAAAATATTATATAATTCATTTAATTTAAAGTATAACATATTGAAATAAATAACATTGAAGCGAACTGGATGACCAAATATGTAGACCTATGCCTACATAGATACGTACTCAATGGTGCTAACACCATTGAGGGTGCGTTTACTATGAGTGCGAATAAAATCAAAATTAAAAATTAAAATCAATTTAATTAATTATAATATTAATTTTCTAATAAAGAAATATAATTAAAAGTTATTCTGACATATTAGATTCTGTTTCATTTTCCGTTTCGTCATCGAAACTGGAGTCAGAGTCGTTCTGCATATATCTATAGCACTACCCAGCACTTTGTACTCAGTAGTGCTCCACATCATACCATTTAAAACAGTTCTACTAGAGATTGTTTATTACTAATAAATAGTTGGGTAAGGTTACGAGGTGCGGCTGATATGATCGCGGCCTAAGGTAGTTAATGAAAAAAAAATATTTTTTTTTCAACAAGATCCAAGGAACAACGGTCCAAGTTTCATGTTTGGGAATCGTTCTTACCTCTGTTGGAGACACACATACAAGAACTTTCACATTTACTAATAAGAAGCTTTAAGCTGTATTTAATAAATAATACTGAAAAACATAATACACAGTTTTTAATTTTAAAATCTTAATTGTGAATGTAAGTACATTATTTGTTATACACTATATACATATTTGTGAAAACATGCATGTAATAATAATGAAAAGCCTTGGAGTTGTGATGTGTGTAAAAAATGTTTTAAAACATAGCAGCATTTGAAACAGCTCTTTCATACTTCATACAGTTGAAAAGCTCTATTGTTGTAATGTGTGTAAAAATGTGTCAAAATAAAAATATGGTTTATATAGCAATTGCATCCCATACATACTGCTAAAAGGACATAATAGTTGTGATGTTTGTAAAAAATGTTTTAAAACATACCATTATCTAGCATGACACTCCTTACTGTTGAAATTTTAGTTTGCTAGCTGTATATAAAAATATCTTAGAACTTTTGCAATTTAATTAAAGAGCACATGTTACTGTGGTAATATTACAGTGGAACAGAATATACTAATTATATGAGTTGATATGGAAAATGCGGTGATAGTTTAAACTTTTTAGAACATTTAAACTAAAATTGAATGAAAAGAAAACTTGTCACAGCAGTCTTTTCAACAGTTTTATCAGCAGTCTAATGCAATAATTAGACTGCTGTCTAATAAAATAATTTGAAAAGTGACAAGTTCAGCTAAGAATGGGAGAGAAATTCAACTGGTTGCTTTTTTCAAAAAAACATATTAGGTTCATTGGATGTCTTTATATGATGTTTAATTAAAATTTATAAAATTCGTTTCTATACATTACAACTAGCCTATGAGAGCCTATTGTTGTCAATAGACAGATCTATAGGATTTTTTTCAACAGAATGAAGTACTCTACTGATAATATTTTGTTGTAGAACGTTTTCTACACACATCACAACTATTATGGCTTTTTACCAGTATGTCCAGTACATCCAGGTACCATACTTACTATATTTTTATGTTAAAGCAATCTTTACAAACATAACAGCCATAGGTGCTTTTTAACAGTATAAATATTGAAGTGCTTATTCAAATACTGCTTCGTGTTAAAACACTTTTTTACACAAACCGCAATCATATGGTTTGTATTCACTAATATGAATATGTATATTATCATTCAAATTTAATTTCGTTACATGACACTTTCTAAAATATTTATAAATATATGGTTTTTGGCCAGCATGAACTAACATGTGGCATTCTAACCTCTTATAGAATTTTAAAGCTCTATTGAATATAATATTAGAATAAAATATATGAGAAATTACATTATGAATCTGTGGCTTGCTTTTGTTAATACCAGTTATATTATACAAATATATATAATAAGGTATCATATTATGTAACATATATTTGATACACCTATACACTGTCCTAATTTGTACAACTGTAGCTACTAAAATTCTTCATTTCACAATTCCTTGCCATTTGCTAGGAACCCGTTTTCATCAACATTTTTGGTCTTTAGAACTACATTTATATCCACATCATATTAAATGAGACCATGCTTGATGAATTGTTTCTGCATTATTCCTGTACTGAATTCTGGGATTTGCAAGTGTTATAAGCCAAATATACACTATCTTCTGGTTTGTTGGTTGTAACTACATATATCTGAGCGTAAGTAAAAAAAATACTTGACACGTGTTGGTAGAGTAAGAGGTGTTTGAAAAGTAGTTAATCCCACCAAATCTTCAGTTCTTATGTATTAGAAATAAGCAATATTCTAAGCACTCATTCACGATATAAAAATTTTGTATAAATGAATTGTAGAATATAGGGTAAAAAATAATAACTTTCTCTGTATATGTGATTTCACGATGGTTCCTAAGACGTTTGTGCTTGACGTGCTCGTGACAAGTGTCAAGGTTCGGTCCATGCCGCCAGTAGCAGTCGGTGTTGCCAGATGGGTATTTGGTATTCTCCCAAATTTTGGTTAAAGTCCTGTAAAAATGTTGTTTTTCTTGATTTCCTTACGTTTTACAGTTATAACTACTGGGACAATAACACCAAAGTAATTTTGGGCTATTGCCTCAAACTTCATTAGTGAGTTTGATTTCATCACTACACTTTATTCACAGACAGACAGACACTCACACAACTTGATTTCATTTATATTTAATACCTAACAAATGTCTTTTTGGAAATTTTAAAGGGAAATTAGATTAATATGTTATTTATGCTGATGGTTCTAAAAATTTAAATAATCTTAAAGCAGCATATTATGATCCTCAAAGGTAATATGGTATATTACCTTTGACGATCATAATATATATTAAACTATACACACATATATATATTAAACTCAAAAGTAATTGTAGCTGTTAATGTTAACAGCAGAAAAAAATATTTATTATGAGAAAACTAACGAAGACAATGGTTGTTTGGGCTCAGTCCTTTTGACTTTCCGTAAGATAGGAAAAACAAATATCATATTTTGTAATGAACTAAAAACGGCTGTATGGGCTTAGGACTCTTTGCCTTTCCATTAATGATAAATAAAACAAAAAAAAAATGAATAAAAAGTATAAAAACTATAATAAAATACTAACATTGTAAAATGACACCAAAATGTTTCCAGTATCTGAAAATTATATTAGTAAAGTTGTAAATTTAATTATAAATGATCTTAACATAACGGAGGGCAGGTACTCACTAATGAAGTTTGAGGCAATAGCCCAAAATTACTTCGGTGTTATTGTCCCAGTTGTTATAACTGGTAAACGCAAGGAAAATGAAGTAAGTCTGGATATAGTTCTAAAAGTAGCTCCTACTGATGAAAGATTCCGAGTTAGTGGAGCTCTTACTCAGTTTTTTGCTAAAGAAATTTATGTTTACTCAACGATACTCAGAAAATATCAGGAATTCCAAAATGACATGCCATTAGTAATGCAATATATTATGCCAAAATGTTACTACATATCCAAAGAATATTGTAATGAAGTAATTTCAATGCAAAATATGTGCAAAGATGGTTATCAACCATATACTCAAAATATGTTTTTAGACATAGATCATGTGAAAGTGGCCTTGATATCTTTGGCAAAGTTCCATGCTTTATCATTTATTATGAGGGAGTGGGATCCAAAATTGTATGAAGAGACAAAAAGTATATGTTTACCATTAAGCAATAAGACCAATAAAAGGTTTATGGATATTCTGTTAGACAGATTACATAAAGTAACTGGCATATTTGAACATTCTTCGTATGACTTGATATTGGAGAATATGAGGAATAATTGTGCATATTTAGTTGAATCTGTAGCTTGCAGTGTAAAACAAATGTGTATATGCCATGGCGACATTTGGAAAGAAAATATTCTCTTTAAATATGTGGTAAGTTTTGAATAAAATATCTAAATGTATATAAATATATACATACACCAGCAGACATTGCTTTGTAATGTAAATTATTTCTAGTAAATATTTTAGTAGTCAAATAAAATTTAGGGCTTGATGGCAGACGGGTAAAAATTTAGGGTTGGTATTTTTTTAAAGTGAATCAGAAAAAATTAAAATGTTTTAAAATATTTGTACATTAAATAAAAATAAAAACTATGATTGGAAGTATTTTCAGACCTACAGAACATGCACACAAAATTTCATGAATCAGTGAAGCATTTCAGAGTTTTGTTTCAAACAAGAATTTTATAATTCTTGTATCACATATATATGTTTAGTAGTCCAGTAATTTGTAAACTGCCTTGTTTATACATCATTTATGAATTACTTTTCAAGCTATAGCTAAAAACTTTATTAAAACTTCATAAAGTATTCATTATTTATATAAAAAAAAATGCATTATGGAATTCCTTTGTACTGCCTCAGATAGTAGCCTGTACTGTCTATGACATATAATTTTAAGATAACATATTTTGTTTTAAAATTCACACTTGCTACTCATTTGTACCACGACAATATGTAAATAGATGTACATTTACTCCAGTACAAAATTATTAAATTATTAGACAAAAGATAAAAATTGTATTTCATAAACATAATAATATATTGTTGCAGGACAATAAGCCTATAGGAGCTTGTCTTATAGACTATCAAACAGTCCGGATGGCCAGTCCAGCATTTGACATACTTTTCTTGATTACTACAAGTACACATAATGAATTAAGACGTAAATATTACCAAGAATTATTAGATACTTATTACCAAACATTTATTGGAGTTTTAAATGAGGCTAACTTAGATTCACACACTTTATATTCAAGGGAAATGTTTGAGGAGGACTTAAAAATTGTTGCCCCTGGGTGCTTCATTGTGGCTAACACTGCTTTATGGCTCTCAAATGGTTTGCAGCAAGAAGGTCATGTTAGGAGCAAACATATCTTGACAACAGATGAGGAAAAAGAAGTTGCTACAAATAAATATAAATCAGTGATAAAAAATATATTAGATGATTTTATCTGTTATGGTTACTTAAGTTTATGACATAGTCTTCCAAGTAATTAGTTGTTATAATATTTGTAATAGTTTATTTATAAATATGTGCCTTCCTTGCCTTCATGTATACATTTGTTTTTTAAAGCAAAATTAAATTTAGTTATTCGATTTTATCTGTAGTAATAGAAGACTGTACAAAATAAAGAAATTAATTGGCCAATTAAAATATGTTAATCACCCTGTTAAGCATACACATATCCACTACCACAAGATAACAATTAACTGGAAAGTTTTAGTTGACAACAATAAAAGTAACATATTTTTTTTAATCATCACAATAATAATTTTTGTAATATCTCAGTGTCAAATTACTAATAGGTACTGTTGACTGTTAGAGTTGCTGGAAACCAACTCCAGGGAGATACAATTGTAGTTTGAGCGAATGTAAGCTCTGGTGGTGGTTTAGAATCTTACCTACGTTAATTCTCGTGGTTAGATAAAAATTGAGGCAGGAAACAATAAATAGTTCTCAGAACTGAAGTTAGAGGTCACTGGATGTTGGTTGTAAAAAGTCTTCTGCGCTGGTGTGTCTGTTTCTCTATTTTATCTGCGATGCAACTTACTTTGTAAGATGTCTCAGTAGTAAGGTCCAGATTTTAGGTAGTGATTATACTAAGAACTACTAGCATTTTTGTAAAAAAATAGTATGCGTGGGAATCTTAGTCTCATTTATTTCGGCCGCCAAGCAGCTAGATGTGTATCAGTCGTAGGGTGATTAGGCAGTGCAATTATAAATAAATAAGGATAAGAGGCATAACATTTTAGTCCTCTAGAATGGCACCAATTAACACAATGTCACATGATGTCCGTAGTTCTGTTCATTTATACAGGCGAAGATTACTACTTACCATCAGTTTGGCCTTAGCTTGTTTTTTATTCCAATTATTATATATCAAGAGTTTTGTGTGAATATCTATAGACACCATTGATATATTGGCAGTTTTATTATGTTTATTATCTGATGAGGTATTTCTATTATATTATAATACGGAATGCTGTCCACTTCTACAAATTAATCTACTAGTTATTTGTGTTTTCACGTCTACGTAAATAATTGCGATATATCTTTTTATTATACCTAACGTTTCTTTTTTCAAGCGCGGCATGTTACGGATTTTTTTAATTAATTCGCCCATTGTATAGCGTCGGGGGCTTACGCGGGACGCCAGTTATAATGAATGAAACATTTCATCATTCATTAAAAACAGATAAAATGTTATTAATGCCACATACAATTTTCTTTTATTACGGGCATGAATTCAGTAGTCTCTTGTTATTGAAAATAATTAATTTTTTAGAATGGTTAGTATTTTTTAAGGGCTATTCTCAATTTAGCCGACTTCAAAAATGGTTTCTGTACTATACTTTATGTTTTTTAGGGATTTCCTTCCCTGAACTTGTTGTAGCTAAAGACAATAACAAGTATAACCTACGAGTACGTAGGTCGTAACATTAAGCACAAATTACGTACCTCAATTCGTAATTTAGTAATTACTTTACTATTTTTGCCCATCAATATTATGTTTAGGTAGTCAATAAAGGTTTCTTTCATTAATTATGAGTACTAATATCTAACATTTCTTAGTGCATGCTGGTTGATAATGTGTAATATTTGAAGGTATCTCAGACCTGCAAATAACGTTTATTTTGTTTAGGTATAAAAATAAAAAATATCGAGTAGAAAATAAAATAAAGTTGTGAAATATTATTTTGTTGGCAGTACATAATTTCAGCTAACCCTTAGTATCCATTAAGGGAAGCCACAGTATTTTCAGCGGAAATATAAACTCGTACCGGACGAGCCGGCGCACTCAAATCCCCTGCATAATGCAAAACTCTACCGCGACCAGACCACGGAAATAAGGGATTTAAAAATAGTTTGCTCTTATTCGGAGACGAATTTGATGTTGTTATTTCATATAGCTACGTACCTAGTTTACCGCCCAATTTGATTCATTCGATTAATATATTTATTTAACTTATATTTGAAAATTACAGTAATTAAGTACATACATCTAAGTGTCTCTTTAACGGATATTAACCAGTTTTAATTTATATATCAACTACATAAATTTATTAATACGATTTATCGACGTCACGAAATTTAATGTTGATGGGGGTATATTGCTTTGTTTTTATTTAAAATATCATATTCATTTTTACTATATGAACATGTCTTTTATTAGCGAGTTTGCAAAGTACCAACCACTGTTGTACTACCCTTATTTATGTTCTTCCAACATTTAATTTGGGTGTGCATGTAAAAAATCTAAATTAAACCAGATAAATTGCTTTCAGTCTGCAATGAAAAATTGTTTCTGGCGCGTAGACATGAGGAACTAAGTTAAAATCCTAAATCTTTTGGGGAGAGCGTCGGTATTTTTTACATATTCATCAGCTGAATATGTAGCTCATGTTAGTTATTAATATTGTAGGTATTATAAGTGCTATAAGTAAAATAATGTTTAATATATAGTTTATGTATATTTTGTTTTATTCAATATAAACAAAAATATACCTATCCTCTTTATAATGTTAGTATTGATGAAAATACCAACTCTGTTTGATATATAAAAAAATATATCAATATTTTTTTTTTACCTTCATAGGAAAATCAATATTTTCCTCATTGTATCGTATAATCTTATGATTACATGAGCTCGCGTTTTAGTTCTCTTTTTATTAATAGGAACACAAAATTTTATATTAAAAAATGCATCCTAATCGGTGAAGCCGTTTCAGAAATTAGTGCGTACAAACGCACAAATAAGCACAAATGTTCTAACAGACATTGTATTGGGTTCTATAACGTTGATGAACTGTCCCAAAAATATTTTTTCTCAGACATCGATCAGTTACATTTTTATTATATTTATAAAATTCCTGTGAGCACAGTTCGATACCTAATAGCTGATAAAGTTCGTGGCGATATCGATGATATTTTTCTGTTATTATAGACGTTTAGTGCTCACTGTCCCCGGTAATCCCGACTGAATTGCCCCGGGTAAGTGCAACGTCGTGTCGGGGTTAACTCTGCATATTTAGTGCCGAGAGATTTAAGATTGAAATAAATCCGCTCGCCGACCTTACCCATGAATCGCTGTTTGCTCACGATAAAGTGGGGCAATTTAGCTTTTAGTTCTATAAAGTGGATTTTATTTCTTCTATAATATCGTTGTATTCACTCTCAGTGGTGGTATACCTACCTATGCGATTATGAAATGTAAGTATAAAATTAGTTTTTAACCGATTACAGAATGTTGTTTAGGTAAACGTATCCACGTTTTCTATTTGTAATTAACTGCGCTAACGGTATACACTGGCGGGGTACCAGTGAAGAAGGATAAGGTGAGTGTGAAGTCACTTCAGGCAGCCAGCCACCCATCGTGACGTATTCACGAGAAATTAACTAGGTTGATTTTCAAGCCGGACCGCGCGGATATCAACTTGAAATTATTAACAATGCCTCAATCTAGTCTACAAAATCCATCTTAGAGAAGTCGCCTCTGGAAATTTTCTAATATGCTGTCAGGCGTCGGTGGTTTAGCGGTTTGGCTCTGCATTACTTCCGATGGTCGCGGGTTCGATTCTTCGCACGGTAAAAACAGACCAATACAAACCATACTTATGTATACTAACCATGAGTATCAAAGTACCTACCTATACCATTCAATTGTCTAGTACCCATAACACGAGCTCTGTTTATCTTTGGACTAGACGGCGTTGTTAACTGTCCAGGTATATTATTATTTTAAACAATGAGATAGATAATACCCGGATATATTAACGTATATAAAAAAAGGCTGTACGGTACAGGACTTTGTTTAAAAATTCTTACCGAAAAAACTGTTGTGCCTGAGTTCTATGTTATATTAATAAATACTTTTGAGTTTTAATCAGTTTCTTCTTTAACTAGAGAACATAATATACTTATAGAGAAAATAAATTGTATTTTTTTATACATTCTAATTTTTACTCAAGTTCAATTTAAAATCCGTTATTCTTGTAGGTCGTTTAATGCACTTATATCAGTCGCACTTTATTAGGTCCTTAGAAATATACCTATATGTAATATTATGTGTCTAGAGTAACTAGGTATATTTCTAAGTTCATTATGACTTATAGGAATATATATATCTATATATAGTATGTAATTGAGTAAGAAATATACATGTTTGTAATAATAATTTTGCAAAGATTTTACCAGCTTTGAACATAATTAATTTGAAGTGTGCCAAGCATATAGACACCTACATAATGGTTACATATTTAAAAACTCAATAATCACAACAATATCGTTAACTTTCTTATTGTTTACCCCCCTCTGTTTGTATAGAAAACAGAGCTGAAAAGTTGGGGTATTGTAATAAATTATATGTTCTAGAAAGAGGTAAACTTGGTTCACCTTTGTTATCTCCTAACTGCGTAACTAAAGCCATTAAAATAATAAAAGCGTCAAACTAGAGTATAACGTTTCCATTCCTTTCACCCCGTAATGCTTTCAAGTGTACCTAATGAGAATTTTCGTTATTTGTACTTGCAAATATTTTGAATTCTTAGGATAACTTATGACTTTAGAAAACGATTTTAAAAATTGAATCTTCCCATTTAATTACTAATTCGTCGGATATTGAGAATATATGTACACAATATAATATAAAATAAAATGGAAACTATTGTCTCTCGAAGAAAATAAGTACCTATTAGGTATGTACGTACCTATAAAAAGATCAAACAACGAGTAAGGCAAAGAAGTAACAATATAAGATATAATCGACGAAAGTGAATGGATTTCGATTACTTATTCCTTTTGCAATAGAAATGGTTTACTCTTGTATTGGTACTAAATTCCTCACGATAAGTAAGTAGATTCCAAAGACGTAGCGATATGGGGAAAAAGGATACATCTAACGCTCTATTTGTAAGGGATTTTTAACAAGTCTATAGTATTCGGTATGTCTTTAATTTTTTTATCGTAATTAATAGTGCCTTTGGAAAAGAGTATGAAGTTTTATTATACACCAGAGATATATGTAGTATCTGCATTATAAAGAGCGATATCTGTAGGCTACTAGTGTTTCTGGTCACTAGACTAAGTATGTAGGTATTCGTTATAATTAACGTATATTATGTATTTTCCAAACATTTGATTCACAAAAGCTTAGAAATAAAGGGCCAATAATATTTATGTCTAATCGATTAATTTTTTTGGGAATTTATTAAATGTATTATATTGTTTCAAGTAGTTAATAAAAAATATATATAAGTAAGTACTTACATAAAAACTCAATATAATACCAAGAAACTAGAAACAAGTCAATTACAGAGAAGTGCTAAGTTTACCTACTTTAATTAGGATTTAAGTGCTGCTATAAATCGTTCAAGTTCTCTTGCATGACTGACCTGGCTAGCCGCCAACACCTGGGAAGTTACTTTACTAAGTGTTTAAATGTACAGTTCATTCCCAGACTACTTTTAAAACTCCAGCCTATTTGTAGATAATTTGTTCTGACGTTCAAAGCTTAAAATATAAATTAATTTTGCTTGGGCTTGATTAATATTTTC